GTTGATTTCTAGTTTTATAGCATTGTGGTCTGAAAAGATGCTTTGTAGTATTTTGATGTTTGTAAATTTATGGAGGCTTGCTTTGTAGCCTAACAAATCGTCAATTCTGGAGAATGTTCCATGTGCACTGGAGAAGAATGTATATTGTGCTGTTGCTGGGTTGAATACTCTGTACATATCTATGAGGTCAAATTGGTTGATTGTGTTGTTTAGTTCCTCCATTAACTTTGTCGAGTTTCTTTCTGGTTGTTGTGTCCCTTTTCGATGTGGTGTGTTAAAATCTCCCACTTTAATTGTAGATTTCTGTATTTCTTTTCTTCAATTCTAGTAAGGTTTGCTTCATGTATCTTGGTGCTATTTTATTGGGAGCGTAGATATTTATTATGGTTATGTCGTCTTGCTCAATTGAGATAGTGTCCTTCTTTATCTCTTATGCTGGTTTTTGTCTTAAAGTTTACTTTATCGGAGATTAGTATTGCCACTCCTGCTTGTTTATTGTTGCAGTTAGCTTGGTATATTTTTTCCCATCCATTAACTTTTAGTCTGTTTTTGTCTTTGTGTGTAAGCTGTGTCTCTTGAAGGCAGCATATTGAAGGGTCTTGGTTTCTTATCCATTCTGCCATTCTCTGTCTCTTCACTGGTGCATTTAATCCATTGACATTCAATGTAATTATCGATTTGTTGTTGTTGTTAAGTGCCATCAAGTCGATTCTGACCCATAGCGACCCTCCATAGGGTTTCCGAGGAACAGTTGGTGAGCTTGAACCGCTGAGCCTGCATTTCAAACGGCTTTGCAGTCTGGCGCATTAACCCATAGCGCCACACCAGGACTCTGTAATTATTGATAGGCATGAATTCATTGCTGCCATTATGTTAATTTTTTGGTAGCGCTGTTTGTTCCTTTGTTCTGCATGCCTTCTTGTGCTGTTTGTGTTTTTTTGTGCTATTTCTTGTCAGTTTCTTTTTAGTGTTCATGTTTGCTTGTTCTGCTTGGAAGCTCATTTTCATGGTAAGTTGTGAAGAATTAAACTTTCTTTGGGGTTGCCTTATAGTCTATCAACTTTTCCCTCCATTTAAAACAATCTATTATATTCTGTAATCTACCTGACCTCCTCACCACCTGGATCTGTGTTCCTACATTTTTCCTTTCTTTGACATTATTATTATTTTGATCTTCGCTTGACCTCCCAGCTCCTTTGAATTTATTGTTGTAATTTTGTTCTGTTCTGGACTCTGCTATCTGTCGTCTGAGTTTCAGGTGGTGTTGCCATGCCTGTCAATCTCTGGTAGTTGTCTGTTCTTGTCGGTTTTCAGTCCAAAGAACTCCCTTTAGGATGTTTTGAAGTGCTGGATTGGCTTTGACAAAATCTCTTAGCTTCTGTTTATCCTGGAATGTTTTGATTGCACCATCGTATTTGATTGACAGTTTTGCTGGCTAGATGATTCTTGGTTGGCAGGTTTTTCTTTTAGGGTTTTGTATATGTCTCCCCATTGCCTTCTTGCCTGAATGGTTTCTGCTGAATAGTCAGAGCTTAATCTGATTTGCTTGCCTTTGTAAGTAATATTTCTCTTTTCCCTGGCTGCTTTTAGGATTCTCTCCTTGTCTTTGATTTTGGAGAGCTTGATTATTATATGTCTTGATTATTATATATGTTTTCTTTTTGGGTCTGTCTTTCCTGGGGTATGTTTGGCTTCTTGAATGTTTATCTTCTCATCTTTCAAGATGTTAGTGAAATTTTCTTCCAGAAGCTCTTCAACTATCTCCTTTGTGGACTTCTCTGATTCTTCCTGTTCCGGAATGCCAATAATTCTTAAGTTGTTCTTCTTCATGTTATCCAGCATGAATCTTAGACTCTTTTTAGATTTTTTTTTTTTATCCTTTTTTTCTGCTTGCTCTTCTATCTTAGCAGTATTGAGAGAGATTTGTCTTCCAGCTCACTGGCTCTGGCTTCCACATCCTAAATTCTGCTCCTTTGCCCTTTCAGTGTATTGTCCATTTCTGATATTTTATTATTAATCATCTGGACCTCTTTTTGCAGGTTTTGAATTGTTTCTAAAGCTGTATAGATCTTGTTTGATTGCTCTTGTAGTACCTTCCTGACTTCTTCCTTGTTTTCCTCCACCCCTTTTCAAAGCACTTGAATTTGTTTTCATATCATTCTTCTGAATTCTTTTTCAGGCAAATTCAAAACCTGTTCTTCCTCTTCTGAAAAGCCTTTGTCTGTCTCCAGCTCATTTGTCTCAGTTACTCTTTTCTGTTTTCAGATATGTTTTGGTATCTTCTGTTTTGTTGGTCATTTCTAGTATTTATGTGGGTTTTTAATACTTAAATGGATGTTTGTTGCTGTGTTATTAGGCCTATTGTGTGTCTCCTGGAGGATATGATCAGGAGATAGGCTTTCCTTTCGCATGTAATGCTTAGCAGCTCTTAATGGCTCTTATCTCAATGGTGGAATATTATGGGGTATGCATGTAGCTTGGCTATATGGCCATGATTGCTGACTCTTCTTGAGTAATGTAGGGAGAAAAAGCTCCCACCTCCAGGAAAAATGTGTGATCAAAAGCCCCAAAGCATAAGCAATATAAAAGCAGAGACAATAACCACCACTTTGAAACAAAAATAAAACTGTGGCTGACTGGCCAGTTGCCCTGATACACAGGCAGTGTGGGTGTACCGTAGAAGCCTCCAGTAGTGGGTAGGGGTGTACTTGCTCAGGCCCCTCCCCTAGTCACCACTGTAGAGGTGTGCAGATAGATATTGAGAAGTTAACGGGAGAAAGATTGTCTACTATTTTTGTCTCTGAAGGTATCTGCGTGTGCACAGTGTAATTCTTGAAATAGTTGTGTCTTTTTATGTTTGGGTTTTACATATTGTTCATATGATTTGTCTGGTTTTTTTTTCTTAATAGATAGGCAGGAATAAAATGTCCCACACAAGTTAACTTTAGGGCTGGGACCCACAGGCAGAAGTCAAAAGCAGCAGCCAAAGAATTTGCCCTTGGACTGATGGGGCGATTTCTCTCTGTGCCCTGGGAAAGCTGTGGTCTCAATGCTGGACTTTTTGGGGGGTGCGCATCCACCTGCCTGAAGGCGTCCAGGTTGGGCAAAGAAGGCGCGACAGGGAAGAGGAGGAAAAAATGTGTAGAATACCCTTGACACCTCTTTTTGCAAATATCACTGTGCCAGTTTTAGCGCTGGTTCCCTGTGCCGGTCTGGCTGTAGCCCTGCCCTCTGACCTCTGCCTGGGTGGGCTGGTTGCAGAGGGAGTCCAATGTCTTGACTGATTCCTAAATCACAATATTTTCCTTTATACTGTGATTTTTCCACTGGTGGTTGCGGGGAACTGACACCCTGAACCTTATGCTAGATCTAGAGTTCTAGTGCTGTTCCATGAGAGCAGCTTCTCTGGGTTTTCAGCCCCTCCCTCCCCCACAGAGCCTGTCCTACCTGACTCTGCTCTGCTGCAGCCACAACCAGAAGAAAAATTTATTTTCTTTTGAATTTTGTATCTTTATATTTTCTTTGCCTTTTGATATTTAAAATAACATGGCATTCCTGGAACAAATAATTATACAGTTATAAAGTAATGGGATTTCTTTTTCATAGTATTCTAATCTTTACATGAAAATATACCTTAAAGATCTTTATGGTCAATATGGTAGAACAGGCTGGTGTAGTAACAACCCTGTCCATTCCAAATACATGCTAACATTGAATAAATTATAATAAGCTTTAGGTACACACACACATACACTCAACCAGTCAAGAATAAAAAAAGAAAAGAAACTCCTTTGGTGCCAGAAATGAATCCAGCAATAAGCACTGAGGGATTTGGGGCTGAATTTTTAATGCCTGAAAAGGAAGAAAAGATAAGACCTCAGGATCACTAAACCAGGTTGCTTTCCTCTTCCCTGTCTGGGTTCCAGGGTCTTTTCTAATAGCACATACACGAGACACTCTGAGGAGAGGCTAGGTTAAGACCCATTATGACAGTGGTAGTGTCGATGGCACAAGAAGGAGCTGTAGAACCTAAACTAGGTATAAGGGGTAGCAGCCAATCCACAGTTCTATATTCACTGTGCATAACTGAGAAACAATCAAACCTTCTATCTTCTTGGTTCATTCCATTCAATTACAATATTATGATACAAAATTTTCAGGCTGTGTGTACTTAAAAGGCAATGAGCACTGCCAATAACCAATGGCTGGTGAGCCCAAATGATGGCATTTTCCAGACTGAAGAATAAACAAGATTTCAACTTCACTCACCACAGGAAGGCTTTCTCTTGTTTTTTCTTGGTGTGAAAGGGAAGGTGGATCAACCACTTTGCAGTCATCACAAACACACTGTATATGTCTTTTTGATCGGACATCAGGGCCTTTTACTTAAAAAACAAAGGGAGAGAGAAAATGAGCATATATAAAAATTTAGCTTCATTCCATCAGTTGTAATGGTGACAGAGAAGGGAAGGATAAACTCTCTACGATAATTATAGTATCTTAGTGTTATTCAGTACCTCATTTATTATTGTTATTTTTAATTGACTAATTACAGCTAACATATACTTAACAAATATTATATGTTAGATATCAAATACTCTCCATGAATTATCTTAATCTTCATACAGACTCTTGGAAGTAGGTATTTTAATATACCCACTTTATAGAAAAGGGAACAGAGCTTTAGATAGGGTTGTTGCGTTAAGTGCCATCGAGTCAGTTCCGACCCACAGCGACCCTGCATAGGGTTTCCGAGGAGCAGCTGGTGAGCCTGAACTGCTGACCTTGCAGTTCAAATGGCTTTGCAGTCTGGTGCTTTAGAAGTTCTCTAATGTCACACAGCTTACACATATTAAAACCACATCTATCTGACTCCAAAGTCCAAGCACTTGTCCACTATGCCTATGATTTATGGCTCTGTAAAGCTCTCTGGGCTCCCCTAGGTTCCCTTTCTCTATATTACCATTGTTCTCTATACCTCTCCTCTCTCTGAGATACCAGACAAGGAACTGTATTCACAAACAAACAGGTGGGAATAGCTATCGTACTGTATAACACAGTGTCTGATAACTTCAAATACAAGAAACAACAGACAAGTGGGAATAGCTATAGTACTATAGAGCACAGTGCCCAATTACTTCAAATAAAAGCTTCCCTAGTGAGCTGAGCCAACTGAATTCATGGGACCTGAACCTTCAAGTGGTGGTGGAGACAGAGACACATAAACTGTGGCCCTAAGAAAGGTCTTGAGCTAAGTTTCCTTGCCAATCACATGAAAAAGGATAGCGGGCCTTTCTCTAAAGGCTGGACCTTGTGGACTTATGATATGGTATCAGGCAATGAAAAGAGGAAGTCTGCATTATTAGTCTTGCACTTGACCTATATGTGATTTAGTCCACTAGTAAAATAGGATCCAGAGAAAACCTTTGATGCTAATGAATCTGATCAGTTATTTTTCTTCCCTTGAGGACCGACAGTTGGTAAGGTTGGTGGTAGATTGGGGCAGAAGTATATGACATGGTTTCTCTCCCTAATGTACTCTCTCATAGAGAGAGTGCAGATATGTTCTTGGGTTTTGTCTATAAGCCAGGGTTCAAGATTGGGGAAAAGGGAGAAGGCAGGAGTTCTGGTGTAGCACTGTGGGTTAATGTGCTGGACTGCAAGGTTGCTTGAACCACAAGGTTGATGGTTCAAGCTCACCAGCCACTCCTCAGAAACCCTATACAGGGTGGCTGTGAGTCGGAACTGACTCGAAGGCACTTAGCAAAAACAACAATGACATTTAATAAATGATTTTGAATTGCCCATTCTGGTCTGTCTCCCTACAAGACTGAAAGTTCCTCATGGGCAAGTGCACAATTGTATAGTAGATTCTCAACAAATGTTTGTTTTCTAAATTGTTGTTAGCTGCCAGAGTAGGCCCCCAACTCATGGCAACTCCAAACAAAATGGAACAAAGTGCCCGGTCCTGCACCAACCCTATGATCAACTGTAGATCACATGTATTGTGATTCACAGGGTTTTCACTGGCTGCGTTTTTAAAGTAGATCTGTAGGCATTTCTCCCTAGTTGTTCTAGTCTGGGAGCTCTGTGGAAACCTGTTCAGCATCATTGTTGTGAAGTGCTGTCAAGTTGATTCCAACCCTGTATAGGATTTCTGAGGCTTTAAATGCTTGCGGGAGCAGAAAGCCTCATTTTTCTCCCATAGTGGCTCGCAGTCTAGAACAGTGGACCTTGTAGTTAGCAGTCCAATGCTTAGTGTGTGAAGCCATCGCACTTCAGTTCAGCATCATGTTGATGTTGCTAATTGACGTCAAGTTGGTTCTGACCCATAGGAACCCTGTACAGAGTTTTCAAGGAACGGCTGGTGAGCTTGAACCACCGACCTTGTAGTTCAAACTGACTTTGCAGTTCAGCAGTACATTAACCCACAGAGTCATACCATATGGATAAATCACTGTATTATTTAGATGCCAACTACAGCTAAAAATGACTTATAAAATTTCGCCTGCCTGTACATTCTCTTAAAATACTTTTTACTATAACATAAATTTGCTTAAAATTAATAATCTGGAACTGAAATGTTAAGTTCCTAAAAAGTTGACATCAGTGGAACCTGTGTGTGAATAATTACAACTCTTGAAATAAAATCTTAGTTGCAAAGACTTCATTAGTTTTCAACCTCACTCACAAGTAACCCAATCTGTCTGGTTTCAGTTACACCTCTGTCTTTGAACCAATGGTAAGGAGATTAACATTTGCTTAATGAATGGTATGTACATCATTTCAGTGTACAATTGCAATCTAACAGGATCGTAAAATAACTTCAATTAAATTTGGAAAAGCTAGTTTCTAAAAAAAATGGCTTGCCAAGAGTTTATTAAACATAAGAAGCATCTAGTCTAGGTTTTGAACTCGTTTACACCATACATCTAAAGATTTTGGTTTTGTTTTCAGCAACACTGACATACATACCAGCAATATTCCCATCTTTGTTGTCCATCTCAACAGCACCATAAGACCTGAGCAGATCTTTCATTGCTTCATCCTCTGCTCCATCAAAAGGAATCTTCTGTCTTTTATCTTTTTTATTAGGGCTTGCTCCAGGTTCTAATAGAATCTCAGCTGCCTAAAAGATATTTTTCCCACGTTATCTCTAAAGACATTTAATGCCAATATTTTCTGCTTTCATTACAATACACCATTGTTGTTGCTGTGAAGTGCTGTAGAGTCGATTCCAACCCATAGTGACCCTATACAGGGTTTCTGAAGCTGTAAATCTTTACAGGAGCAGAAAGCCTCATCTTTCTCTCGCAGAACAGCTGGTAGTTTCAAACTGCTGACCTTAAGGTTCGCAGCCCAATTCATAACCACTATGCTACCAAAGCTCCTTTTATTAAATATTGTCCTCATGAGCACAATTAAATGTTCAGAAATACTCATACTTAGCAATGTTGCCCACAGCTTGTCATGATTCCCAATTTTTTTGGATTAGTGTTTGCATGGTATATCTTTTCCCAAAATTTTACTTTTGACTTACTTTGTATTAAAATTTTTTTAAATATAAATTGTATTTAGCTGGGTCTTGCTTCTTTATTAATCTAACAACTCTGACCTTTAGTTGGTGTGTTTACGTCATTTACATAGTGACTATCAACTATTTGTTTTGATTTTTCTCACCTGGATATTTATTCATTTTTCCTATTTTATCAGCTTCAAGTGTAATACTACTTAAAAATTTGACTCATCTTCCCTATTAGCTTACTGTTATTCATAAGGCTCTCAGTAGCGGTCCACTACTCTTTCTTCCTAGATCATATGATGATATGAAGAAGAAAGAGGCATCAGGATTGAAGAAAGATTTAGTAATAACCTACAATATGCAGTTAATAGTCTTGCTTGTTAGAAGCAAATAAGACTTTAAAAATTTACTGATCAAGATCAAAGACGCAAGTCTTCAGTATGGATAGTATTTCAATGTAAAGAAAATGGAAATCCGCACAAGTGAACCAATGAATTACATTTTGATAAATGAAAAGAAGACTGAAACTGTCAAAGACTTCATTTGGCTTGGATCCACAATCAACACTCATGCAAGCAGCAGTCAATATATCAAATGACATATGTTGCCTGGTGTGGCGCTGGAGGATCAACACTGGACTGGAAACCATAGGCTGGCAGTTCAAACACACCAGCTGCTCCTTGGAAACCCTATACAGGGTCTCTATCAGTTGGAATAGACTTGATGGCACTTAGATACTAACTATTACTACTATATTGCATAGGCAAATCTGCAACAAAAGCCCTCTTTAAAGTGCTCAAGAGTACAGATGTCAGTTTGAGCACAAAGGTATGCCGAACCCAAGTCATGATATTTTCAATGGCTTCATATGCATGTGAAAATTGGACAATGAATAAGGAAGACTGTAGAAGAATTGATGCATGTGACTTGTGATATTGGAGAAGAATATTGAAGGTACCATGGACTTCTAGAAGAACAAACAAATCTGTCTTGAAAGAAGAACAGCCAGAATGTTCCTTGGAAACTTCATCTCTTGTACTTCAGTGATGGTAAGACTTTGTCTCACATATTTAGAGGATATGTTATCAGGAAGGACCAGTCCCTGAAGAAGGACATTATGATTGGTAAAGTGGAGGGTAAGTGGAAAATAGGAAGATGCGCAATGAGATGTACTGACAAAGTGGCAGCAACAATGGGCTCAAACATAACAACAATTGTGAGGCTAGCCTAGGACTGGGCAGTGTTTTGTTCTGTCGTGGATAGGGTCACCATGAGTTGGAACTGACTTGAGGGTGCCTAATAGTATTATTAGCTTACTATCTATGCCTCTTTATTTATGTTGCAATAGATTGTATTAGCAATCCAAGGTCAGCAGGTAAAATGGCAGGTTGTTGACAACTCCCAGGATTGGGAGGCAATATGGCATGCTGCTGGCTCAAGTTCAAAGAACTGGAGGTTAGAGGATGAGCCAGAGGCAGGATCCACACCCAGCAAAAAGCAAACAAGTTTTAGACATAAGCAAGTATTCAATATATTAGAAGCAAGCCACACCCCCAAGAAAATTTTCTTTCAATTTACTGGCTGCTCATAGCATATCTCATACTGGAGATGAATATATTATATTAGATCTCACCATGGAGGATTACTATGTCTTAACTGCCAAGTCACTGAGAAGCCTGGCCCAGCCAAGTGGACACATAACCTTAACTATCACACTGGGTATACAACTGGAGATTGACAAGTTTTGTTTTCCATACAGTACTTTTAAAAGATGTCATGGATTGTCCAGAGGATAGCACAGGTCCTGATGAGAAGCTAACTGCCATTTTTATGTGTGTGTCTTATTGTTATTGTTATTACGATTGGTTTTAAGATTTTTCTCTTCGACACTTGTTTTAGGTGTGATTTGGTGCAGTTTTCTTCATGGTTCTTCCACTGGGGATTTGTTTGGTCTTTTTGGTTTTATTGTTTTTATCAAATTTGGACAAATTTTGGCCTTCAAATGTGTTTTTTTTTCTTGATCATCCTTCTCCTTTTCTATGGATATATATTACATGACTTGATATTGGCCTGACGTTGTTCGTTTTATTTTTTTAAGTCTTTCTTTTCCTGTGTTCATTCTGGATCATTTCTATTGCTTCAGTCTACCCCTGGCCTTGTTTTGATTGATGATATGGAGCTTTTCCATTGTCTCTTTCTGCAGATGTAGAGAATTTGATTTCTATGTATTCCATCGGTTGAGGTCCATGTGTATAGTCGTCTCTTATGCTGTCTAAAGAAGGTATTTGAAATGAACAAACCATTGGTTTTGCAGAATTCTATCATGCATTCTCCTGCATCATTTCTATCACCAAGACCATATTTTCCAACTACTGATCTTTCCTCTTTGCTCCCAACCTTTGCATTCCAATCACCAGTAATAATCAATTCATCTTGATTGCATGTTTGATCAATTTCAGATTGAAGAAGTTGGCAGAATTCTTCTATTTCATCCTCACTGGCTTTAGTGGTTGGTATGTAAGTTTGGATAATAGTTGTATTAACTGGGCTTCCCTGTAGGTGCATGGATATTTTCCTATCACAGACAGTTGTCTTGGAAATCCTATGGGGCAATTGGGATTAAATTTACAGCCTGAGCTTACTCTCAGTCCTTTCATTTTATTCTGACTTATATGAACTATGTGATTAAAAGGCTGTGGAAAAATGATATATAAGAAATGCACTGATTTTCCAATCCATTATATTATCTTATCTTCATTTGTAGTTTTAAGGAGGTTTTTTTTAGATCATCTGTTTTAAGGAAACACTTTACTTAAAAGTTAAAAAATATTTTCATTTCCTTCACTTGTTTTCATAAGAAAAAGTAACAGAAAATTAAAATTGATATGCTGTACCTTTAAGTGATTGTTTGTAACAGCATCATGTATGGGCAGAGGACCATTTAGATCTTTACTGTTATCATTAGCACCAGCTTTTAGGACCTCTGCAATTACATTATTAGATTCCTCACTAGACGCCGCCTCATGAAGTGGTGTCAAACCTACAAAAAAAAAAAAAAAAGGAAGAAAAAGACATGCTGCTGCTTAAAAGCCAAATTTCATATGATCTCTGCATTCCTAAGTTTTCTGGACTAAAGATCATCAGCTCAGCAGTTCAAACCCAACAGTCACTTTCGGAAACCCTATACAGGACCCCTAGGAGTCGGAACTGACTCGACAGTACACAACAACATATTGGTTCATATGTAGATACAAATTTCATTGTTGTTAAGTGCCTTAGAGTTGGTTCTGACCCATAGCTACCTTGTATAGGTTTCCGAGAAGCGGCTGGTGAGCTTGAACCGCCGATGTTGCCGTTCAAACCGACTTTGCAGTCCAGCGCATTAACCCACAGAGCCACACCAGGACTCCATATACAAATTATTATTGAAAATATCACCTTAAAATGTCTGTTTCATTTTGGAGAAAAAAAAATGAATGGGTCTCATCACAAATATTTATTAAAACAAAGTACCAAAATAGAAGATTCATAGAACATAAAATATAATGGGACCAGAATCAGTACAGCTTCAGTTCAGATACTAAGATAGAGTAAGGTCATGTCTTACTTTCATATTTGTATTATTCACATTGTCACATTTGTCATTAAAATGGCATTTGATCCAATCTTTTTTAAGTTTCCCCTCTGGAATTCCTTAGACAAGCTTCTTCTGTGTTTAAGAAAAATGTTAGAAGTTCTACTTATAGAATGGAGATTTAGAATAAATATAAGGAATAAAAAAGGAACAATATAAATAAAGGAGGAAAAAGATGAGGGAACAGGGAAATGTGGAAAATGTATACATTTTTTCCAAAGTTATGGAACGGAATTAAGGTTTCCAAAGAAAAGGTCTAAATAAAACTCCTCTCCTCCCCATATTGTGCAGTCCTTCCCAATCCTAAAAGTGGTTAAAAAAAAAAAAAAAAAAAAACTGTTTCAGAATAGAAATTATTTCAGTAATTGATGAGACATCAAGATAAAAGTTTACTTTTCAACTAAATAATGTAAGTTATTTACGAGAGTATTCAAAGTTAGCAATGTTGTTGTTGTTGTTAGGTGCCATTGAGTCGGTACTGACTCACAGCAGAACGAAACACTGCCTGATCCTGGGCCAACCTCACTACTGTTACCACACTTGAATCCATCGATGTTGCCACTTGGCCAACCCATCTCACTGGGGTCTTCCTCTTTTTCTCTGACCCTCCACCTTACCAAAAATGATATCCTTCTCCAGTGACTGGTCCCTCCTGACAATATGTCCAAAGTATGAGAAACGAAGTTTGGCCATCTTGGCTTCTAAGGAGCACTCTGGCTGCACTTCTACCAAAACAGATGTATTGTTTCTTTTGGCAGCTCATGGCGCTTTCAATATTCTCCTCCAACACCATAACTCAAATGCATCAATTCTTCTGTGGTCTTCCTTATTCACTGTCCAGCTTTCACATGCATATGAGGTTATTGAAAATACCATGGCTTGGTTCAGGTGCACCTTAGTTCTCAAGCTGACATCTTTGCTCTTCAACACTTTAAAAAGATCTTGTGCAGCCAGATTTGCCTAATGCAATACATCGTTTGATTTCTTGACTGCTGCTTCCGTGATAGTTAGCAATATACCCGAAAAGATCAAAATTGAGAAGGGCAGCCATGAAATGTTTATGTCAGTGCATCCAAATGAAAAGACAATTAAAATGAAAAGAGCTCAGACTTGCGTTAGCATTTAGCTTCACATCTGCTCCAGATTCTGTAAGTGCTCTCACCAGATAAAGATCTCCTCTCTTGGCAGCCAAATGAAGCCGCCTTTCCCCTGCAGCGTTCCTCTTATTGATTCCAGCTGTTTTCATTTCTGTACAATTTCCAGGCAAAACTGAGGATTCTTTTCTGCCAAATGCTGATTATTATAAAGGATCCTAGCAAATACATGACAACTTACACAAAATATCCGAAGTAGGTTGGACTACACAGCAACATAACATCAATTAGTATAGAGAATAGAAGGAAAAATGAGAAAGGACAAAAGATTTCCATGTATTTTTGGAGGGAAAGCGTATGTATGGAGGAGAGGAAACTGCCTTGTTAATGAGGGGAATACTCCAGTCTAATGCCTACAAGGAAATCAGGGAGCCAATCAGAACCCACACACTCAGCACTTGAAGGCATCAAGTACCACGAAGGACAGCAATGTGTGAAACAGGGTTAGAGACAGGATATTGATTGAAAGTCTATATATAGAAAAATTGGGACTCCAGGATCCCTTCCCTAATCCTAAATAGCTTTGGAGCTACACTTCTTCATACATATCCCCATGTCCAAATCAGAAAACTGGAAGTTTATTACCTGTAAAATTCTATTAGCAAAACTTTAGAATCAGACACAAGGTGAAACAGAAAGGAAGGGTAATGGAACTGACAAGGACCTGTTCATTGAACTCAGTAAACCCATCCAAAAGCCAAACCCACTGCTACCGAGTCTGGTTTGTCCCACGGGGTTTCCTTGGTGGCAATCTTTACTCCTGGTGTGGCGCTGTAGGGACAGCACTGAACTGTGAACCACAAGGTCGGAAGTTCAAACCCACCAGCTGCTCCTTAGAAACTCTATACCGGGTTGCTATGAGTTGGAATCAACTTGATAGCATTTAACAACAACAATATTTACAACTATCACTCGTTTGTCATACTCGGTTGCTTGCACGTTGCTGTGATGTTGGAAGTTATGCTACATATAAAGAGGAATGTATCATCAGGATTGGAAAAAGTCGAATTAACCTGCGATGCAGATGACACAATCTTGCTTGGCAAAAAGGAAGAGGACTTGAGAGCACTTACTGATGAAGATCAAAGACTATAGCTTTCAGTATGGATTATACCTCAACATAAAGAAAACAAAAATACAACTGAACCAATAGGCAGCATCACGATAAACGGAGAAAATATTTTAGTTGTCAAGGATTTCATTTTACTTGACTTCACAGTCAACACCCATAGAAACAGCAGTCAGGAAATCAAACAGTGTATTACATTGGACAGATCTGCTGCAAAAGACTTCTTTAATGTGTTAAAAAGCAGAACTGTACTTTGAAGACTAAGGTACACCTGACCTAAGCCATGGTATTTTCACTCACTTCATAAGCATGCAAAAGCTGGAAAATGAATAAGGAAGACCAAACAAGAAATGAATTTGAATTATAGTATTGGCAAAGAATATTGAATATACCATGAACTGCCAAAAGAATAATCAAATCTGTCTTGGAAGAAGCTCAGCCAGAATCTTCCTTCAAAGGGGGAATTGTGAGACTTCATCTCAATTACTTTGGCATATTATCAGGAGGAACCATCATGCTTAGTAAACAGAGGGTCAGCAAAAAAGAAGACCCTCACCTAGATGAATTGACACAGTGACTGCAACAATGGGTTCAACAACTGTGAGGGTGCATAGGACCAGGTAATGCTCTGTTGTGTATGGGGTTGCTATGTATCAGAACCGATTCCATGGCACATAATAACTCTATGGCAGCAGAAGCTAGATCTTTTCTCCCATAGAGCAACTGGTGGGTTGGAATTGCCAACCTTTCAGTTAGTAGCCAAGTGTTTAACCATTTCTCCCCTTGTTGTTGTTATGTGCCGTGGAGTCAGTTCCGACTCATAGTGACCCTGTACAGGGTTTCCAAGGCTGCAAATCTTTTACGGGAGCAGAAAACCTCATCTTTCTCCTGCACTACAGCTGGTAGTTTCAAACTGCTGACATTGTAGCTCGCAGCCCAATTCGTAACCACTATGCTACCAGAGCTCCTTTCTCCCCTAGGGCTCCTTTTTTGTTGCTAGGGAGTTCTATTAGTTTACTGTAACTGCCATAACAAACTACTTCCAGCTTAAAAAGACAAAAATGTTTTCTGTCACAGTTCTGGATATCAGAAGTACAAAATGAAGGTGTTGGCAAGGTAGTATTCCCTCTGGAATTTCCTCTGGAAAGTCACTGCTTCTTTCAGCTCCCAGTGGCTGTTGGCATTCCTTGGTTTGTGGCCAGGTAACTTGAATCTCAGCCTCTGTCTTCATATCTCCTTCTCCTTTCTTATCTGTCTCAAATCTCCCTCTACCATTTTCTTGTAAGGACATTTGTTCTGGAATTTAAGGTTTACCCAGATAATCCAGAATGCTCGCTTCAACTCAAAGTGCTTAATTTAATAAAATGTGTAAAAACTTTTTTCCAGACATAGCCACAAAGGGCTAGAGTTGAGAGCGAAGCATCCAGCTGATATGAAGTAAGGGAAGATGCACAAAAATGCCCAAACTTGCAGACAGTACCCATGTGACCTAGCCTTGATGGATTGATGATCAGAATTAGATGAAGATTAAAAAAAAAAAAATTTAATAAAGGAAACAAGTGTAAATTGCTACAATCTGATGAACTTGACCTATATTTATGGATGAAGTAGCTCAAAATACCAACTGAGAGGGAAGGTGTCTTCCCATCAAGTATCAATCCTATATCCTCTATATACAGGGTTGATAGGGACGGGCAACTTAGATATTGGCTACCTAAAATAAGGAGGCGATAAAGGCATGAAGTGACTAGCTTACAAGTTTTCAAGAGGGAGTTCAGTTTAAGAGTGGTGGGGGCAAGGTAAAGTCCACACTGAATAGTTTTAATCTTGTCTAGATAGGTCAGGTGAAAACAGGGATAATGTTCTTATGATTCAATAGTGAGTAATTGTTATCATGACTAATTACAACTGTAAAGGTATATGTTTTGTAACAAAAACTGGGAGCGGTAGTGAATAATGCTTATCAGGACAGATTATGAGGGTTGGAACTGCAAAGGTAGACGTTTTGTAACAAGGAAGGGAGTGATTAATTCTCCAGTCTAGGAGCGGAGGTCTCTGGGACCATCAATGGAGAAGAGCCGAGAGCGGGACCCTACCCAGAGAAACAGAGATGCCTGAGATAGAGACAGAGACAATGACGTGGAGTAATGAAGCGGCTGGGGACTTTGGATCCAGAGAGAGAAAGGGACTGTGGGCTGAAGACTGGGGGTGGGGTGGAGGGAGAAGTGTAGGGGTCAGTTTTCTAGGATATACCCTTTGGTTTGTTGATGATGCATGGAGGGGATTGGAACCATTTCAATGAAATGATATACGATGGAATGAATGTAAAGCTAAAGTTCTCTCATGTAAACTATCATATAATTCACAATAAAACATTAAAAACAAAAACAAAAACAAAAAAAAGGGGAGTGGTTAATCTTACAATCCAGTAACAGAGGACCCTAGGACCATCAAGGGAGAAGAGCACAAGTGGAATGTGGGACCCTATCCAGAGAAGCAGTGACACCAGATATGGAGGCTGAGATGAGGACATGAAGAGAGGGAGCAGCTGAGGACTCTAGACTCATGGAAAGAGGGGGACTGGGTGCTGGCGGCCAGGAGGCAGGCTTTCAGAATGTGCCCTTTGGGTGTTTTAATTATTGTATATTTTTGAGTGTCTTTGTGTACCTCCCCCACTACCACCACACACAAAAAAACAAAAATCAGAGTGAATAAAAGCAAATACTGTTAAATGATGATGCACAGAGGAGATTGTAATCATTGCAATGAAACAATGAGTATAAACCTGTAAATTATCACTCAAATCACAATAAAAACTTGAAAACAAAACAAAACAAAAAAAGCACCCTTTTTCCAAATGCGAACGTTCAAATATTTTACTATAAAAGGTAATAGTCACAGGTTCTGGGTGATATCCTTTTTCAGTGACCATCATTCAACAGTGATAGTGGTGGTGGCTGTGTGCCATCAAGTCAGTTCTGACTTACAGAGACCATGTATAGAGTTTCTGAGGCTGTAAATCTTTATGGGAGCAGAAAGCCTTATCGTTCTCCTACGAGCCACTGGTGGATTCGAACTGCTAAATTTGTAGGTTAGTAGCCTGACACATAACTCAGATTCAACAGTGGTTTTGTTGTCATTGTTAAGTGTCATAGAGTCAGTTCATACTCATAATGAGCCTTCATAGGGTTTCCGAGGAGCAGCTGGTGAATTTGAACCACCGACCCTGAGGTTCAAATTGATCTTGTGTATGGTCCAGTGCTTATCCTACAGCACCACACCAGGACTTTTACCTTTTAACAGAGAGTAGATAAATCAATTTTCAGTGGTGTGTCACTGTGGGATAATGCACTGGACCACAAGGTCGGTTTGAACCACAAAGTTGGAAGTTCAAATTCACCAGCTGCTCCTCAGAAACACTATACAGGGTCGCTATGAGTTGGAACCGACTCAACGGCATGCAACAATACCAACAAATTGTTTAACCTGAAGTGGTCTAACCTATTGTTCATCACAGTACCTGTTCCAAGAGCCATCCACGTTGTCAAACGCACACAGATCATTTTTCTGACACAAAGAAACTAGTGACCATGCTTCTCAAATTTTCCTTATGTGAAAAGGACTGGGGGAAGGTTCTATGGAATCTGACACAGTTCACCCCTCCTGCTCAATAATGCTGTGGTCTCTCCTGTTGATAGCCTCTTAGACAACAGATTATAAACCAGAAGCCATAGGCAGAAATTTATCAAGAATATATCTCAAATTGAATGGAGTCTCAAATGTTGCCATACAGTAAAAACATCTGCTATAAATGAAAAAAATCTTATAACTTTAATCAATAACTAAAAACCAAAGCATTAATGCATCTGAGAGCTTAGAAACTCTCTGTCCTAAGAACGGAGAGCAGTTGTTTGTGTACAATTTTACCTATACAATTACAGGAATACAAACCTTGGCTGCTGGTCACTTTCAACACATTTTGTCTCTCTTTCAAATTCTGAATTTGGATGTTAGGCATGTGAATTTCTGATTCTGATTTCTCTTTTTCCTCCTCACAATTTCTTACAGTACTTTCGTCTCCATTATTAGTTAAGTTCTCACCTAAAACACAAACATTTTTGCATTATCAGAGTTGTAAACATGACTTTAATAAATTTGTATGTTTTTAGAGTTTCTGTTCCAAGCTTGACTCATTTTTCCTTTAAAAGGGGAATGGAAGTCTTTAAAGATGCTTTTTATTATGTAACAAATATGAAGTTTTCTGATTACAATTCTGATGGAATCACCAATAATTGTTAATGGGACAATCTCCTCTGTGAAAATGTTATGATTCCTGATACTAAACAAGTGCTGTATTAAAAAGAAATATAAAAATGCACAGAAATAGTTTGCTAACTTCCATCAATACTAACTCAACAACCATCTCTGACATTAACACTTCGACTTTCAAGATGATCATTATTACTTAACCCCAATCCTGGCCTGTAAGACCTCATTCTTGTCAGTTTGGGCATATGCTGAGTAGAACTCAATGGGAAATTTCTATAAAATAAGTCTATAGGAAATGCTTACAAATCAAGCAGTATTACTAATACCTGGTTTGGGAGAACTTTCCTTCTCTTTTGTTTGATTAAGTTGTGAGTTGCTGATCAATTCTTTATTCACACTGTCAGTAGAATGAAATTCTGCATTACATATGGTCTTGCTCTGTGGAAGGTCTTGTCTCCTTTTGTCCATTTTAGTTGTTTCTATTACTGGAGAATCAACAATTGTGGATAAAGGCCAGCCTGAATAACTCGTTTCTGGATCTCTGTCAGTGTAATTCCTTTTAGTGTCTTGTTTCTCATTTGGCTTTTCCACAATATGTGCATCTGTTTGAAACATTAAAGGAGTTTGCTGTCTAGGGCTATAAAGAGACATTTGTTCAGGATTGCCAGGTGAGTGATCAAAAGAAGCTCCATAGATACTTTGCTCATAATTGCAACCACAGTGTTCAGAAATGACTGTATTATCTGAATCAGTTTCTTGTTGTGGAAGCATGGTTAGACTGTCAGCTTTTAATGCACTTTCCTGTGAAAAGTGGTGCTTCGAAGTCAAAGACTGTTGAAAATCCATTTCTTCTTTATTACCTATATTGTCTTTACATTTATAATGGTTTATATAATCTGTAGAACATATCACCTCTTTAGATGTCTCCGTTTTCTCAGAAGTATGGCAATCACCCCCAACACCAACACCACCATCATCAATACTTCCCTGTAGAGTCAATGGGATAGAATTTCCCCACTGATTTAGGTTCTCATCTTTTTCACCTGAGACACCATTTGCATTAATTTCATAAGGACTAATGTGCTGGTTTTTGTCACTGTGAAGAGGCTGAAGAGGCAACCTGATTTCTTTATCTAAAGAAAGTTCTGAGAAAGAACCTTCAGTTTCATCACTGGATTCTAATTCCAAGAATTGCTCTTCTTCACTATCTGATGAATCCCAATCATCAGTCTGTGTTTCTCTGGAAATCAAACAAGGCTTAATATTGTTATCTAAGTCATTTGTGAGGTTTGAGAGAGTTAGGATGGAAGGTTTGCATGACTCTTCTGGAAGGCCATCATCAAGAGTTTGGAGAACAAGATGCTGATGTGAAACCATTCTGTTGGCCCTTCCGAAAGAAGTAACAGCTATTGTTTTTCTTGGACTACAGCTTCCACCATCTAGCTGGATCTTTTTATGTTGTGTGTTTCTTCTTCCTTTACTGTCAAATACATTTGGGCTGGGATCTCTGGCATTATGGATATTGTCCTTTCTGAATCCTTTAGCGGGTATTGGGTCAAGAGTTGATTGCTTTTCCTTGGATTTACCAAATTTTGTGTGTTTAGAATCTTTTTGCAAATATTCATATATATCTTCATTACTTATAAATAAACCCTCTTTGCTTCCTTTATCGACATTTACATGTTCTTGCTTCTGTCTGTTAGAATTTTCATCATCAACAAATCCAGCGCAATTTTTAGAACTGAATTTTGGTTTCTATAGAAACAAAAGATATTAGTTAGCTTTAATTTTCAGATGTAATTTTATTATACTCAGTTCATTATGAATTGCTGATAAATCTCATTATCATTCCAGTCAAGTTAATAATTTTATCTAACTGTACAACCTACTGGAATATATCCAAATAATATTTCAGAAAAACAGACAAAGAAGAAAAAAAGGCAAACTAATAAATACAGACTCATTATGTGTTCTAATATAAAATCTAAAATCTGTATATTTTAATTCTTTTTTTTATCAGTATTATAGCACTATTTGTCTTATTAGACAAAAGAAAAAATTTAACCTACTTAATTTTTGCAGGCATATTAAATTAATCAGATCTAAGTTTCCTTGTGAATGAAACTTCACATAATGTTTAAGAAACATTTCCCCTCTCCCAATTGTCATATAGGTGGAGTTAGAACTAGGAGTTTCTTCTTCCAGTATCTTTGAAAGAAAATATGTAGAGCAAGGCAGAAAGGATTTAAGAAAGAAAGAGAGAGAGAGAGAGAGAAAGAAAAAGGTTATGCTCTCAAGCTGGCCTGTATATAGAGATTTTTGTGGCCTGGTAAGATTAAAGCCAGGACAATGCTTCCTCTCACCCACAGAATCCAAGCACCAAATGAAGACTACCTGCCCACCATGTAAAGTTAAAAGGGATGCAGTAACACCTTCCACTCTTGAACTGTGCTTAGGCCCAAAGAAATCTGACATGGTTGATAAACACCATGGTTCCATGAAGAGGAAAACGGAAATAGCTACCAATGTATCAGTGTGGCCACATATACTACATGTACTCAATTGCTACCCAAACCAGCAGCCCAGAACCTCCTGATTCTCATGTAATTATTCCAAGACTCTTATAAAGCAAAAGTGATGTTACTGTTTCTGACTGATGTTTAAACAGTCTTTCTTTCCCCTCTGGTGATTATACAATAACCAGCAGGTGCATCCCTATAAAATGTTTATTACTAAACATAGATATACCTTGTGCTGGCATGCCTCCTCTGCATCTAATGGGTCAGTGCCATCCTTTTGAGCTGTAAACAAAAATAGAAAATCACAGAAAACATCCTCCAATGAACAGACTTCAGATTGTTCAAACCCACACATTTTTAGTCAAAAACAAAACAAAACAAAAACCAGAATAAATAAATTTATATATGCATTTTATATTAAGATTAGCACATCTAGCATCCCTGTAATTTATGATACCCACATTTATAGGAAACTGAATACTATCTGGAGAGAGCTGAAAACACTTAAGAAGGAAAACAAAACGATAAGCAATACTACAGGTGGGCACTGAACTGACCGTTTTTTTTGAATGAAGAGACACTTCATTCAGTAGATTATGCAGCTGTATGTAAGCCACTCTTAGAAGAAAAAAAAAAATCCTCCATTATTATTGGATTGTTGTTGTTTTTGTTAAGTGCCGTCAAGCTGGTTCTGACCCATAATGACCCTGTACAGAGTTTCCAAGGAGTGGCTGGTAAGCTTGAACTGCCGATATCTTGAGGTTCAAACCGACTTTGCAGTCCAGCACATTAACCCACAGCGCCACTCCAGGACTCCAATTATTGGATTTGTTGTTGTCAGGTGCCATTGAGTTGATACCGACTCATAGTGACCCTATGCACAACAGAACGAAACAATGCCTGGTCCTGGGCCAACCTCACAATCATTGCCACACTTGAGCCCATTGATGCTGCCACTCTGCTAATCCATTTTGCCAGGGGTCTTCCTCTTTCTCTCTGACCTTCCACCCTACCAAACATGATATCCTTCTCTAGAGACTGGTCCCTCCTGACAATATGTCCAAAGTATGAGAGATCAAGTTTGGGCATCTTGGCTTCCAAGAAGCATTCTGGCTGCACTTCTTCCAACACGGATCTGTTGGTTCTATGGGCAGCCCATGGCACTTTCAATATTCTCCTCCAACACCATAACTCAAAAGCATCAATTCTTCTATGGTCTTCCTTATTCACTGTCCAGTTTTCGCAAGCATATGACGTTACTGAAAATACCATGGCTTGGGTCAGGCGCACCTTAGTCCTCAAGCTGACATCTTTGCTATTCAACACTTTACAAAGGTCTTGTGCAGCAGAGTTGCCTGATGCAATACGTCGTTTGATTATTGGATTATCATGTACTAATATGTCTGGAGTCCTGGTGTGTGCTACAGGATCAGCACTGGATTGCTAACCAAAGGTTCAAATCCACCAGTTGCTCTAGGAAAAATCTATCCAGGGTCACTATGAGTTGGAACCAACTCTACGGCACTTAACAACGTGACTGAACATATAGTGGGTATGCGTTCAGCTGATAACCGAGAGATTGACAGTTTGAACCCAAGAGCTGTTCTGTGGGGAAAAGATGCTTCCATAAAGATAGCAGCCTTGGAAATCAATCCTATGGGGCAGTCGTATCTATTCTCCAGGGTCTCTATGAGCAGCAATGGATGGGGGACAGGGCTGCTTCATAAAGTACTGAATTCTCTTAAAAGCAATGCATATATGCATGGAAAGGCTAACCACTTTGTTTTAAAAGATTAAAAACAACAACAACTATCTACATTCACCAATCTAAAAGGAAAAATAAAAGGAAAGTACTTCAGTATCTCTTTTAAATACTGAAAGTAGAATTACAGTTATGTATACACATGTGGGATAAGCACTAGAGTGCAAAAAACCAGGTTGTTGGTTGGAGCCCACAAGCTGCTCTGTGGGAGAAAAATGAGGTTCTCTCGCAAAGATTTACAGCCTTGGAAACAGGGTTGCTATGAGCTGGAACTGATTCGAAAGCACTTAACAACAACAACAACAACATACATGCATTTAAGGAGCCCTAGTGGTGCCGTGTGTTACATGTTGGTCTGCTAACTGCAGGGTTGGCAGTTCAAACCCTCCAATTGCTCTGTGGGAGAAAGATGAGGCTGTCTACTCATTAATGATTTACAGTTTCAGAAACCTTTAAGGAGTAGTTCTACTTTGTTTGAACTGTAGGGTTGCTATAAGTCAGAACTGACTCGGCAGTTTTATATATGCATTTGACCACAATCAATTTGATGTTGCAAAGTGCCATCAAGTCAGTTCTGACTCACCACAACCCTATGTAGGACTTCTGAGGCTGTAAATCTTTGTGGGAGCAGAAGGCCTCACCTTTCTCCCTTGAGGTGGCTGGTGGGCTCAAACCACCAACCTTGTGGTTCACACTGTAGTGTTTATGCTACAGAGAAGAAGGAAAAAATTCATAAACACTTGAGATATGATGCATAAAGAGTAGAAATCTCCTTAAAAGAGAGTAATTCATTTCTTGGAAATTATTTTCATGATACCAATCGAATTATCATTGGAAAATGAGACTTGCCATTTAATAATTTGTTCTTAAAAGAACAATCAGAGAAACAATATTTTCTAGGAACCACCGTGTTGGTCACGTTTCGTAAGAGAATCTGGAAGCAAAAAGGGAACTTTTATTTTCTCTCAATTTTAAGATCGTACATTCCCACACATACACAAAAAGCACAGATACAAATTCTGAGGTGGCAAGTTTGGGAAATAGAGTTGCATTCTTATTCTTCTCCCTTGGTCACTTTGAGCTCCTATCATGTGTCAAGTATGGTGCTGTGACATTTATATATATGACCCTAAATCCTCACACTAATAATTGCATAGATATATAGATAAATGCATAGATTATTATAGGTCCAAAGTTACAGATTAGGAAACTGTTGTTGTTGTTGTAGTTATGTGGTGTGGAGTCGGTTCCCACTCATAGCGACCCTGGTACAGGGTTTCCCAGGCTATAAATTTTTACGGGAGCAGAAAACCTCATCTTTCTCCCACAGAACAGCTGGTAGTTTCGAACTGCTGACCTTGAGGTTTGCAGCCTGATTCGTAACCACTACATTACCAGAGCTCCTGATTAGGAAACTAGGGATGTTAATATAACTGAGTCTATATAAAGAACTAAGAAGGAACACAGTGGATTCCATAGGATGAACACTGGACTGCAAACCATAAGGTCAGTGGTTCAAGCCCACCAGCTGCACTTCAGGTGAAAGATGACTCTTTCTTTTCCCACAGATTTGAAAACCTTGGAAACCCTGTATCAGGGTTGCTATGAGTTAGAACCGACTTGATGGCACGTAAAAACATAATATAAAGCACTGAAGAAAAATTCAAGCCTCCAGCTGAAATACTGAAGGATTCTCTGGATAAAATGTTGAACAACAGAAGCATCGAATGATGGCAGGAATATACAGAGTCATTGTACCAAAAAGAAATGGTCCATGTTCAGCCATTTCAGGAAGTGGCTGTGATCAAGAATATGGTTCAGCTCCACTTTACCCTGGTGGTCCTGATCATGGTCTGCTGTCCACTAGCTACCTTCCTCCTCTGCATCCTCTGATCCCTGCTCATCTACTTCAAGGAGACAAGTTACATACTACAGGGTGCCCAATTACCTGCCATTGATGAGCTCGGCCATCGGCAGGGAGGCTCTTTAGAACTATGCATGGCGCTTCTGCATTGGTCTGCACTCAGCACCCTACTTTTTCTTTTTTAAAGTTTTTATTGTGAATTATTTGATAGTTTACATGGGAGAACACCAGCTTTACATTCATCCTATCATATTTCATTTCATTGCAATGATTACAATCTCCTCCAAGTATCATCAAACAACCAAAGTGTACACCCTGCAAGCCTGTCCCCCAGCCATCAGCACACGGCCCCTCTTCCTCCCAGAGTCCAGAGTCCCCAGCCACTCCATCGCTCCATGTCACCATCTCTGCCTCCATTTCTGGCATCACTATTTCTCTGGGTAGAGCCCCAGACTCCACTCTTCTCACTTGATGGTCCCAGGGACCTCCGCTTCTGAACTGCAAAATCAACCACTCCCCTCCTTTTGTTACAAAACATCTACCAATATTTTCAACATTCACAATCAATCCTGATAGTAATTATTCATGAATGCTATCCACATCTCCTTTCATCAGTCCTGCCCAGGCAGAATGGATACTACTCGGTAGAGATTCTACCTTCCTCCACACCCTCTGGATCTAGGCTCCCTCATGAAAGCTTGTAAGCCAGTCATGTCTTGCTTTTGTAGCCTTGCCCCCCCCCCTTCATTTTGGGTAACCAATGTCTAAGTTGCCCATCCCTGTCAACCCTGTGTACTGAGGAGGTGGGAATGATCCTCGTTGTAAAAGTGTGTTCCCTTTTTTGAGCTACTGCATCCATAAGTATAGGTCAAGTTCATCAAATAGTGGTGGATTATTCTTTTTTTCCTCTTCTTTCTTCTTCTTGTTGAGTTCTGGTCATCCAGTCATTGAAGCCAGGTCAAGTGGGTACTATCTGCAGGTATGGGTGTTCTTGTGCATCTCCCCTCACTTCATATCAGCTGGATGCTTCACTCTCCTCTCTAGTCCTCTGTGGCCATATCACTGCCTCTGGGCCCAGGAGTCCCCGGGTCTTGCCGTACTGCTGGCCATACAGGTCTCCACCCGGGTTCACAGGAGTCTATTGAACATGGTTGGACTTAGCTCACAACTTCCCCTTATCGGTGACCAATATGGTCACCAGCCAGACCACATGCCTGCTCGTGTATTCCCCTTGAGTTTTAGTCTTGGAAGGGGATTTGCCCTGAGGTTGGCGCTCCATTTCTTGGTGGTCTTCAGAACCACTGCTGCCAGCTATGTAGTCTCAACTTCACCCTCAATGTCATTGAGAACCTTGTGCTGCTAGTGCCTCCAAGGACTTCACCATCCACGAGAATGTGTTCATTATGTACATTACTTCATCCCTCAGATGGATGCTCCTTACCTGCATTTTCTGGTGGCTGACCAAAAAGCGCACAGTGTAAAAGTCCTACAGCTGGGAACAGAGGTGCTTCATCATCAACTTCATCACCCTCTTCTTGCCTCTGACTATCTACTTTCAGCACATCATGTGTTGTGAGACTGAGTATACAGCATCTTTGCCATCCTGGAGTACACTGCTGTTCTAACCAGCATGACTGCCTGGTGGGACTTTGGGAA